ATACCATTTAATACTTTAAGAACACTAATGACAAGCATGTGAAAATGAATCAAACAATACTGCAGCTAAAAATGTTAGAAATTGAAAAGGAACACAAAGAAGTGAGAACAATGAAAATCAGAAATTTTAGCACAGAATGTTTTAGAGCTCTGAAAACGGGAATGCTTGATACGAACATCGTATGGACTGCGTACAGGCTGGCTAATTTCCTTTTCCCTGAGCATGTCCAGTGAGCTCTGTGGATTCTGTCAAATGTCCCCCCGTGCAGCTTAAACCAGAATTGAAAAGCCACTCTCCTGGGAGGTTTTGAGGGTTATGCATGCCAAGCTCACAATCCAAGAAAGGGGACTCTGTCCTGGGAAGCTGGGAGCCTTGTGCACAAATGTTGAAACTGAAGCTCAGAGGGGGAACTGGTGTTGAATCCTAAGCCCCAGAACTTCCCCTCCTGGGTTGCCCAGGATGGTCAGGCCAGCTGGCCCCACTAGCCTATGAGGCAGATGCTTCTGTCGTCTGTCTGCCACTTATCCCGTGGTCCCCAAATGTCACAGAGATGTCAAGTTTACCTGTCCTTTCCAAAGTGGGTGTAATTGTTTTTTACATTCTCCCCTGCAGACTATGGGAGCTATAGCTTCTTCATATCTTTGCCTATTCCTGTTGTTTTCAGTCTTTTAAAATGTAGTCTTTTTAATTGAAGGTCAGATAAAGAGCTTCACAGATAAGAAAAAGCTAAAAGAGTTCATCACCACCAAACCAGTATTATATGAAATGCTGAAAGGTATCCTTTAAGAAGAAGAATAAGAAGAAAAAGGTAAAGATACAAATTATGAACAACAAATACACATCTATCAACAAGTGAATCTGAAAATCAGGTGAATAATCTGATGAACAGAATTAACTGGTGATTATAATAGAATCAGGGGCATAGAAAGGGAGTGGACTGGCTATTCTTGGGGGGGGGTGGAAGTGGTGAGGGGGATGCGGGAAGAGACTGGACAAAAATCGTGCACCTATGGATGAGGACAGTGGGTGGGGAGTGAGGAAGGAGGGTGGGGTGGGAAATGGGTGGAGGGGAGTTATGGGGGGAAAAAGAGGAACAAATGTAATAATCTGAACAATAAAGATTTTAAAAAAGAAAAAAAAAGAAATATCTCTAAGAAGCAAGAACATTCAAAAAAATAAAAAAATAAAATGTAGTCTTTTTCACGAATGGTATCTCAGTCTTTTCATTAGTGTCCCTCTGGGGTAGTGCTGGTCACTTCTGCATGTGCTCCTTGTGCTTTTATTTCTTTGTGAATTGTCCTTTCATGGCTTATGTCCATTTTACATACATTTTTATTGAATTTCTAGAGAGAGAGGAAACGAGAGAGAGGGAGGGAGTGAGGAAGAGAGGGAGAGAAGGAGGAAGGGAGAGAGAGAAAAAGAGAGAGAGAGACATTGATCGGCCGCCTCCTGCACTCCCCTACTGGGAATCGGGTCCACAACCTGGGCATGTGCCCTGACCAGAATTTGAACCGGTGATCTCAATGCTCAACCAACTGAGACACACTGGCCAGGGCAAATTTTTTTTAATCTATTTTTTATTGTTTTCTTAGAGACAGAGAGGAAGGGAGAGGGAGAGAGAGAAATATGAATGAGAGAGAAACGACTGTATATCCATTTTAAATTTCTTTGTTTTTATGGTTGAGATTTAGTTATTTGTTGTTTATTTATTGGGGTGTCAGAGCTTGAGTGGGGAGAGGAGGGTATTGGTACAGAGGATGCGGCTGCCTCGCAATCGGACTTAGAGTCAAGGAGAGGGAAGATGGCGCCCTCATGGACAGGCAGTCAGGCCTGGGATCACAATCCAGCAGAGGTGAGGCGGGCACCTACAAGGACAACTGGGAGAAGCTACTCGGTTTGGGGAGTTAAAGTCCACCCGTGCTGACGAGAGTGGCCACATGAGGGTGGCACCTTGACCTGCGGAGCAGAGGCCGAGCAGGGTAAGATGGGTGCCTGCCCCAGGGTGGAGTATCAGAGACAAAACGGTGTCCATACCCGGGCAGTCTGGCAGGGAGTACCTGGGCCTCAGCAGGGTAAGGGGGCATCCACAAGGAGGGGTGGCCTGGTGTGATTATTGTAGCCCAAGTGATGTAAGGAGAATATCCTCACCCAGCGGAGGGTGTGGTAGCAGAAATAGGAGTTTGGTACCACAGGGGAATTGATCAAATAAGTAAATGCATACGTGCATTACACACATTATATCTCTGTTCCCTGAGAAGCCCGGTAGCTGTGACCCCCATAGCGGTGAGCACTCCTAGTGCACAGGTCTTCGCTTCTAAGCCACATTTTACACCAAGAACCAGGGTTCTCCAGAGAAATGGCCAATTAGAGAGCTGGGGCAGGAGTACAAGGTGATGGTTGTGTCAGAAAGTAAGGAATTTCTGAAAGACGGATGTGGTTGTGTGAAAATAGAGCCACTAAGTTCGTTTCATCCAAATTTGGTAGCACGGTGCCTGTAAAGTCCAGAGCTGTGTGAGTCAGGAAGCAAACACTGGCTGCTCTTAGTCCCAGATAGAGGGCTTGCCAACACCTGAACTCACTCAAGTTCAGAAGGTTACAAAACTAAACTTTTCTGACCCTGCTCAGTCAGCCTGAGCTGCTGCAATATTGACTCAGTTCGTGTTTACTTGATAGTCACTGATTAAGGTAAGCCACGAATGCTGGAGCATACACAGCACACACTCAGCAAATGCTGGGGAACTTGCTTGACAGGAATGTTGACTGCTGAGCAAGAGTGCAGGACGTCATGTCCTTAGCCAAGGTGCTGAAATGTCGAGGCCAGCGCCTATTTATTCAAATGGGCATGACTTTCCCTTAGGCAAAGGTAATTGAGTGTATCAAAAGAGATGCGATGGAAGTGAAAATTCTGTAAATTGTCAGTCTCCCTGTTAACACAAGGGATAAAACATCGTGTAAATGGGGCCTTGACCGGTCTTCATTTTCCTTACTAAAAGAGCTTAGAAGTAGCTGCACTAATCAAGTTAGGGCAACTATGATGGTGTCTTTACAGGTTATGTCTTTGTACAGCAATACTGTTGGTGACCTGATAATGTAGGCCATTCTGCTGACATCTGGCTTCTCATGATCACTAAATGTTCCCCTTGACGAGGTCTGCACCTTATGCTGGTTCATGCTGTGAGTCTGTTCAAGGAATTCCCTGTTTTCTGTCTTCCAGAGTCCATGCCTGCGGTCCTATCTAAAACCTCCCTACCTTGCTGTGCACACATCATTCCATTATTTGCGACAATGACAGGCCAACAAAGTGACAGAAAACACTGTGTCTGGAGGTGGGTGGGAGGTGATGGGCTTTTGAAGCCTCCCCCTAAATTCTCTGACGTGGGTTCTTCCCTGTTACCTGTGCATTTTCACCTCTGCAGTGATCTGCAGTGATGGAGACGGGGAGGGGAGAATCTCTGTCTTTCATTTCTTCTCTTGAGAGTTTAAGGCCCTTTAATGCTTGGAGTCAAATAAGGCCTTCCATTTAACATGAAGTCTTATTACTTTGTGACCAGTCAGTGGGGTACACACTCAGAGAAACTAATGTTCGGGGGGGAGTTGGTTTTATTTTCCTAAAATTGTTCTTGAGGCAGCCATAGGGCACCACAATGGGCATTAGAAAATGTAATTTCCAATCCCAGCTTTGTGACTTAGGAGCTGTGTGACACTAGATGGGTGTCCTGTTCTGTTTTCCTTTCTCCATTGGAAAAATAAAAATGAATAATGTCTCTTTCCAGTTTTTTTTATTTTTGGTGGGGGTAGAGTTTGATGTTAAAATGTGTATAAATTTACTTTACTAACTAGCAATGCAATTTGGGGATTCAAGATTAATGAGTTACATTCCCTAGTTTTATGTTTAGCTAGCTATGCTGTTAGTATGGTCCTTCAAAAGGCTTTTATTTCCGCCCAGCTGGTGTGACTCAGCAGTGAGAATTGGCCTATGAACCAAGAGGTCACGGTTTGATTCCTGGTCAGGGCATATGCCCGGGTTGTGGGCTCGGTCCCCAGTGTGGGGCATGCAGGGGGCAGCCGATTAATGATTCTCTCAAATCATTGATGTTTCTATCTCTTTCTCCCTTCCTCTCTGAAATCAATAAAATATATACTAGTTTTTTTTATAATATATTTTATTGATTTTTTACAGAGAGGAAGGGAGAGAGATAGTTAGAAACATCGATGAGAGGGAAACATCGATCAGCTGCCTCCTGCACACTCCCTACTGGGTATGTGTCTGCAACCAAAGTACATGCCCTTGACCGGAATCAAACCTGGGATCTTTGAGTCTGCAGGCCGATGCTCTATCCATTGAGCCAAACTGGTTAGGGCTATACTAATATTTTTTAAAAAGCTCTCATTTCCAAGGAAAAAGTATCCTAGTGTTTGATAAAGCATTAAAGGATAAGCACTTGTTTATATACAAGGATTGCCCCCCAAGGTATGAATTCTCAACTGGTCAATATCTGTGAGTCCAGAATATTGAACAATTTTTTAAACAACCCTCACCTGAGGATATGTTTTTATTGATTTGACAGAGAGAGACGGAGAAACATCGATATGCAAGAGAAACGTTGATCGGTTGCCTCCTCTATGGGCCCCAACTGGAATGGAAACCACAACCTTCCTAGTCATGACTGGAAATTGAACCCACAACCTTTTGTTGTACCAGATGACACTCCAACCCACTGAGCCACGTCGGGGCGGGCAAGAATGTTGAGCAATTTTTTTTTAATCAAAACATTTACTTCACTGGTTCTTAACCATGTGGGTGTTTCAAAATAAATAACAGTAGCTTGGCTTTACCCCAAACTTATTAAACCAGAATCTCAGGGATGGGGATTTGTAACTGAGCAACAGACCAAAGTCCCTTGGAGGAAGAAAGATTAAAGTAACTAGATCTAGCTGATTAGATCCCTCCCAGTCAAAGAGGCACATACTGAGTAGCAGGGAGTGTTATGAGCATTTGGAGTTTAAGCTCCCAGTAGACTCAGTAGGAAGAGAGCGCTACGATGGGCCCGGTTGCGCTCCTGGTGCTCTGTCTCTCCTGTTTGCTTCTCCTGTCGCTGTGGATACAGAGCTCTGGAAGAAGGAAACTTCCACCTGGCCCTACTCCTCTCCCAATTATTGGAAACTTACTCCAGCTAGATGTGAAGAACATCAGCAAGTCCTTAAGCAATGTAAGTATGTTTTGTGTTCTTCCAGCAGCTTGCCAGGGGTAAGGAAATTAACATCTACTTCTAAATAAAATAGAGTTATTAAAATATGTGTTAAAATAAAATCATTAAAGCAAGTACTCCTCGTAGAGTATTACTTTTGGTTTTTCACCCACAAGAATAGCGAAATAAAATACTAATGCATTTTATGAGTGAGGTACTTTAGGTCTCTCTAGGCTACAATCAAAAAATAAAGTAGCAAAAGATGGGAGAGCTGCTGCCCTGTTTAGTTTCCCCATTATTTACGGCGATTTTTAGCTGAAGATAAATGGTAAGAGAGATGTTTTTGATTAGAAATTTCATTCAAGAAGTCACTAGAAGAAGATTGGACTTTGGGTGGTGGGCACAGAATGCAATATTCAGATGACATATAGAATTGTACACCTGAAACCTATATAATTTTATTAACCAATGTCACCCAATAAATGTAATTTAAAAAGGAAGTCATCTATAATAATAAAAGATAATATGCTAATTAGACTGGACAATTGAACGACCTTCTGGACGTCCTTCCGGACTACCTTTCGGATGAAGCCGGGGCTGCGAGGGCCAAGCCCCTTGCATGAATTTTGTGCATTGGGCCTCTAGTCTATTATATAAACACCGTGTTTTGTTCAGAATAGTTAGGAAAACTGTACTTCTCAAAGGAAGCAAATTATACCTGATGTCAAGGAAAAAACTGGGATTAGGAATAGTGCGAGTGAAAGAGAGAAGTTATCAGGGCCAGCTTGCTGGTAACAGGATCCTTTGGGCACAGCAAGCAGCTCTGTGGCTGCCCGTGGCCCGGACTGCTGAAGGTGGAAGAAACTGCTTGTCCATGAGCTGCCGCATGTCCTGGCGCTGCCCCCGTGGTGCTCCCTCCTTCTGTGTTAGTAATACAGAGGATCATGAACTGGGCTGGGCATTAGGATCATCCAGGGTGAGTTTCTTTAAGCATAGGATTCCAGTACTCATCACAGGGCTACTGAATCAGAATTCTGATGGCAAGAGCTCCCCGGGTGATCCTGAAGGAGCAGGTGGGATCATTGGAGATTGACATATTGCTAAAGGATCCGAGGTTGTATAAATAGAGGCTCAAATTTCAATCTGTACATAGCAGTTAGGGGATGCAGAAAATGCACTGAAATTCTCTGACATCCATTTCCTTATAGGTAAGTGGGGCAAATGAACTGCTGATGATGCTGCTTTGAAGATTAATTGCAATACATGTACAATTTACCCAGGCTGTTGCCGGCACATAAGTGGCAGCTGTTAACAATCACCTTCATATTTATGTATTAACTTGAGAAATATTCTAGACCATGTCACAGAATCTACACTAATAAAAGACAAAGATGCTAACTGACCATTCCTTCGCTATGCCCTAAGCCACGCCCACCAGCCAATCAGAGCGACTATATGCAAATTAACCAAACCAAGATGGCTGCTGGCAGCCATGGAGCTGGAGCAAGCAGGAGGCTTGGTTGCCCCAGTGATGGAGGAAGTCAAGCTTCCCGCCTGCCCTGAGCTGGCTGTGGCCTCCGCTCATGGCAACAAAGTTTCAATTATAGAAGACAAATAATCCCAGATGCCTGCTTCCAGCCAGCCTCCACTGGGAGCTTGGGTGGCTGGGGGTTGTGGCCAGCCTGCAAACAGCCATCAGCCCTCACCCAGGCTGGCCACACCCTCATGGGGTGAGGGTCCCGCTGGGTGGCTTAGTCAGCCTGAAAATGGCCCTCTGCCCCTCACCCAGACTGGTCAGGCACCCCAGGGGGAACCCCTACCCTGAAGGGGCTGTAGCCAGCTTGCAAACAGCCATCAGCCCCTCACCCAGGCTGACCAGGCACCCCATGGGGGACCCCCACCCTGAAGGGGCTGTGGCCAGCCTGCAAACAGCCATCAGCCCCTCACCTAGGCTGGCCAGGCATTCCTATATAATAAAAGGGTAATATGCAAATTGACCCTAACAGCAGAATGACTGGGAATGACTGGTCACTATGACACACACTGACCACCAGGGAGCAGATTCTCAATGCAGGAGCTGCCCCCTGATGGTCAGTGTGCTCCCACAGGGGGAGCTCTGCTCAGCCACAAGTCAGGCTGAGGGCTGCCAGTACAGCGGTGGCGGTGGGAGCCTCTCCCGCCTCCTCAGCAGCACTAAGGATGTCCTACTGCAGCTTAGGCCTGCTCCCCGCTGGCAAGTGGACATCCCCCAAAGGCTCCCGGGCTGCCAGAGGAATGTCTAACTGCCAGCTTAGGCCCAATCCTCAGGGAGCGAGCCTAAGCCAGCAGGTGGTCATCCCCCGAGGGGTCCCAGACTGAGAGAGGGTACACCCCGGGCTGAGGGATCCCCCCCCCGAGTGCACAAATTTTTGTGCACCAGGCCTCTAGTAAAAACATAAGACAGGATGATAATATCATTCTGAATCAGGCACAGTATATTGTCAAATAGTGACTTCTTTGACTAACATTTGAATCTCCTTTCCACTTCCCAGCTCTCAAAAGTCTACGGCCCGGTGTTCACTGTGTACTTTGGCATGAAGCCCACGGTGGTGCTGCATGGATATGAGGCCGTGAAGGAAGCTCTGATCGACAAGGGCGAGGAGTTTTCTGGAAGAGGCAGTTTCCCAGTGGCTGAGAAAGCTAACCAAGGGTTTGGTAGGTGTGCGTGTGGAATAGGGATGGGGAGGATGGAAAATAGGAATTTGAAGATCTCTTCAGAAAGCTTGGCCCCTCGGTGTGGATGCCAAGGGTCAGCTCCCTCCTCCTTGTCTGGGATCTCCCTACCAGTTTCTGTTTTCCTCCTTATAGGAATCATTTTCAGCAATGGAAAGAGATGGAAGGAGATCCGGCGCTTCTCCCTCATGACCCTGCGGAATCTGGGCATGGGGAAGAGGAACATTGAGGACCGTGTTCAAGAGGAAGCCTGCTGCCTAGTGGAGGAGTTGAGGAAAACCAATGGTGGGTGATTCTATGCACTGTAACTCTGACCTTAACATTTCAGGGCAGTCAACTCCTTCATATGGGTGTGGTGTCAGCCTCCCGTGGAGGAGTGAGGGTCTGAAGCAGAGCGCCAGGGAGGTTTTGTGTGTCCGTGCTCACTGTGCATGCACATCCTTGATTGTGCATAGTGTGGATACAAAGGGTCGTTCGTTCCTACTTTCTCTAAACTTTAACTATTTTCACATCTGAAATCACAAAGAATAGTTTTGAGTCATGTTTTGACAAAGTCAGGGAACAATGTTTTTGCTATAGCATAAATGTGGGTTATTTATTCCAGAGCACTTCACCAGGTGATACTTGTCAGGTGGATGTGGTGGGAATGACCTCATCACACTCTTATGGAGCATGTAACAAGTAGCATGTGCTTGCATTTCATTGGCCTAGATGTGCATGGTCAGTCTCACAGACATCTCTAAGAGTGCCTTTTAGGGCCCAGTCCCATAGTTCGAGCCAGTAATGATGCCATCTATGGTATTAATCACTGAGGCATGTCTTTGTACAATTCCCATCACTTATGATTTCTCTGTAGAGACAGCACTGTTTTAAACATATTGGCATTACTTACTTTTTGTTACTCACTGTATTGATTTATGTATTTTAAATACATACTACATTAAAATTCTTGAAATTCAAAAAAATGCCAAGTTATAAAATGTTTTATTTAACTAGATTTAAACCATTATCAAGTACAACTTATCCTGTCTTCTCTAAGTAGAATTTGGCTCTGTTTTCAGTTGCTAAACTTTGCCCCAACTCTGTGGGACTTTGGTGAAAAGTATGTGGCAATTATCTGCCTTCCACAGCTGGTGTAATAATCTGAAAAGTGCTTTGTCAAAATGACACTGATTTTTGGCTTGGTTTACAAATTACCCTGTTTTATTTATTTATTTATTTATTAAAAAACTCTTGTAGACATTTTATTTTTTTAAACATATTTTATTGATTTTTTAGAGAGAGGAAAGGAGAGAGACAGAGAGTTAGAAACATCGATCAGCTGCCTCCTGCACATCTCCTACTGGGGATGTGCCCGCAACCCAGGTACATGCCCTTGACCGGAATCGAACCTGGGACCTTTCAGTCCGCAGGCCGATGCTCTATCCACTGAGCCAAACCGGTTTTGGCTATTTATTTTTTTAAAAAAGATATTTTTAATTGATTTTAGAGAGGAAGGGAAAGAGAGAGAGATAGAAGCATCCTATCTAATAAAGGAGAAATATGGTAATTAGCCATACCTCCACTACTCTTCCCATTGACTAATCAGGGCGATATGCAAATTAACTGCCAGTCAAGATGGTGGCCGGCAGCTAACAGGAGGCTTGCTTGCTTCAGTGACGGAGGACTCCAACGTTCCCCGTCTGCGCTGCCGGCCTCTGAGCTTGCAGTTTGAAACATTGTTACAAATATAGAAGCTAAACAAAACCCCAGTAACCTGTTTTCAGTCAGCCGGGATCTCAGAGCTGGATTCGCAACAAAGTTTCGAATGCAGAAGGTAAACAAAGGCCATAAAGCTGCTTTCAGCAGCTGAGCCTCAGAGAGAAAGCCGGCTCTCAGCTCCAGTGACAGGCATAGAAGGTAAATAAATGCCAGAATAAAAAAAAAAGAAAAAAAGGAGAGGTTTGGAGCTTCAGTCGCCCGCCAGCCTGAAAACAGCCCTCAGCCCCTCACCCAGACTGGCCAGGCACCCCAGTAGGGACCCCCACCCTGAAGCAACAAGATGGCGGCTAATTTGCATACTGAAGGCAGGCGGCAGCAGGCAAGGCTGTCTGCGGTCCCGGGACCCGGATCTGTAACCCTGCCAGGCGGGGGGCAGCGCTTGAGGCTGTCCGCTTTCCCGGGACCCAGATCCATGACCCTGCCGGGCAGGGGGCAGTGCTTGAGGCTGTCTGCGTTCTGGGCCTACTCTCTATCCACTGAGCCAAATCAGATAGGGCCTTGGAATGTTTAACAGAACCTGGTCTAGAAGTCCCTAACTAGATATTTCCTTTTATTCTATGCCCTACTATTTCCTCCCCACATTAGACAAAAATTTAGAGTATAAAGCAGCGGTCACCAACCTTTCGTACCTCACGGACCACCAGTGGTCCATGGACCATCAGTTGGTGACCGCTGGTATAAAGCACATAACATGAGATCTACCCTCTTAGCAATTAAGCATACATTACAGTATCAGGCAGCTAACTCCTCAGTAGGACTCAAGCTCCACAGGGTGGGGTGACAGGTAATCCAGAGGGTGGGGCTATTGCTTTCCTCCAGGGGAGTGTGCCACCCAAGAAAGATGGCATCTGTGTTATTAGAGAATGACTCAGCACAGGGTTCCTGGTGGCTCTCTCCCCAGAGCCACAAACCCAGGCTCTCCTCATAGAACTATAGTCCATGCCACCCTCCCTTCCTCTGCCAGAGCCCATGGTTAGTGGTTATGAATGAGATTTTGTGTATTGGCCCTTTAAGAGGGCACCTGTGTCTCTAGCAGACTTCCATCTCCCCCTGGTGGACAGAATCCCTGCTAATGTTTACAGCCAGACATTACATGGGAGCCTCTTCCCGGCTCTTGTGCTCTGGGCTGGGTAGCTTGGCTTGGAGTTGAGACCCCACCCTTCCCAGGGGGAACCATTGCAGCTGAGATCTCTCTCCAGAATCTCAGCTACCAGCCCTTTTCATGTCTCCACTCCCCCTACCAGTCTCAATGTGGCTTCTTCTGTAAATCCTTGGTTATAAGACGTCTCTTCAGCTAGTCTTCAGTTGGTTATTCAGGCAAATTGCTCTATATTTTAGTTGTAATTCCAGTTTGGTCCTGGGTGGAGGTGAGTGTACCATCTACCTACTCTGCCACCATCTTGGATCCTCCAGGAGGGAAAAATTTTTTAAAAATATGTTTTTATTGATTTTAGAGAGAGAAGACAGGGAGAGAGAGAGATAGAAACATTGATGAGAGGGAATCATTGATCAGCTGCCTCCTGCACGCTCCCTACTGGGGATTGAGCCCACAACCTTGGCACGTGCCCTGACTGGGAATCAAACCAGTGACCTCTTGATGCATGGGACAATGCTCAATCCACTGAGCCACACTGGCCAGGAGGGAGGGAATTTTTTTTTAAACATTGAAATAAAGATTTAAAAGAACTCCATTTTTGTTTTGCTTATGTGGGATTTATGTTTGAAATAAAAAATTCTCATTTCATTTTTATTTTAGGCAAAAAAAATCCATTTTATAATAATTGTTCACTTGTATTAGCTTTTCTTGTCATACAACAAGGATGGTTGCTGCTTCTTTACACTTATTCTTTCAAATACATGAATTCACCCACAATCTTCTTCTCTATAGCTCCCCCTCTGTTGCTTCTACACATGATTCTTTAAATTATTCATCACACATAAAATATCATTGAGGTCCCTATTCTTTCTCTATACCAGCACTTAATTTTCTACAGGCTTTGCAGACAAATGATATTCAGCACTAACTTTAATTATGACATATATAAAAATGGCCTCTTTAAATGTTTTTTCCCTTTATTTTTCTTCCAAATTAACAGGCACCTTGGGTGAAAAGTAAAGACAATTTGTACTTGAGTACAAATAAAGACAAGGGGTATAAATTGAGTTGTTGTTTTTTTTCCAGAAAACCGTTATTTAACTAGCTAGATGAAATAATATACTCAGGTTAAGGTAAAAGTAATGCATTGATTTTATGCATGTTGAATATTTTGCTGTTAGGAAATTTGTAGGTAAGATATTGCTTTAAAGTTTCTAAAATTACCTTTACCTGTTATTTCATAATCAAAGTGTTTCATATGTATATTCTAATGGTGTTTTAAAATTGTTTCTGATTCTTTAGCATCACCCTGTGACCCCACTTTTATCCTGGGCTGTGCTCCCTGCAATGTGATCTGCTCCATTATCTTCCAGAAGCGTTTTGATTATAAAGATAAAGTTTTTCTAAACATAATGGAAAGGTTTAATGAAAATGTCAAGATTCTGAACTCTCCATGGATTCAGGTGAGGCCAAGATTGTTTCTTCACATCTTTATGGAATCCTTTATGCTCTTTTCTCCAAGAAGTCCACATCTTTGTGTGTACCAAGCCGTGAAGTGAATGGGTGAATGCCACAGTCCTTCCCAGAGCTTAGCATCATGAAGTGCTCATCTGGGAAATTGGGCCAAGCCCTTTACTGATAGACCAGAAAAGAAATGCCCAGAATACAGATCTGGAATTCAACCCCATTGACCCTGCCCAGGATATTCCTGCTAAATTCCAAAGCCCAATTTCCCACAAAGTACTTTGATAACTTCCCAAAATCATGCCTATAGTACTAAATGGACTTCTGGGTTCCTCTTGAAAGGATTCCATTACCCACAGGTCTTGTCATCTAGTCAACACTTGGTGACTTCTTCAGTACATTAGTTGACAGAAATATATGTATTTGGGGAGGAAGAGAATACCTCCTTCAAGAAGGGAGACTATTTGGGACCACAGATGCCGCTAAGGAACACTATTTGATGCTTTCGTTGGCATCCTAACTGACAAGGTAATTGTTTGGGGGATGACAAAATGATTGGGTACATGGTGTACGAACCATACACAAACATCACAAAGTTTACCCTGTGCGAGTTGACATGTTCTGCACTCTGCCTAAAAGATAATGATGTGTTCTTAAAGAAGTCACTTAACTGCCCTGTGCACAGTTACTTCATATATAAAAAAGTTGAGTTGTGTTTCATGGTTATCACCAGGACCCTCCCAGTTCTAAGATACTGATTCATCTGAGGCTACTAGGCAGAACTAGAAATAGCAAGGTTACGTTTTGTGCGCTGTATCAGGTTGCTCAAACTCCTTCCCCCTCTGTTGTCATCTAAAAAATGTGAATCATAGTATTTCATGCCATCCCATATTTCAAGATTTCAGGGAAGAATTGATGTAAAAAATGAGAAAACTGATATGTGCCTGTTTTTATACTATAAGCATGATGTATGCATAGAGAAGTGATTACCATCTTTGCTCCTCTGGTCAGAACTTTCTCCCTCAAATACACCTATCAGTGTAGAAAGTTACATATTTGTAAAATAGAAATCCCCCTCAAAACAAAGACCATATTTTATTAATATTTACAGTACAGTTTCTGACTAGGGCTTAGCATATGGTATATGTTTTCATCAAGTGTTTTTTATCAGATAAACTATCCTTTTCTCTTCTAGATCTACAACAATTGCCCTACTCTACTGGACTATTTCCCAGGGAGTCAAAACAAAATATTTAAAAATGTTGATTTTATAAAAAGTTATGTTATAGAGAAAACAAAGGAACATCAAGCATCCCTGGACATTCACAATCCTCGGGACTTTATTGATTATTTCCTGATCAAAATGGAGCAGGTAAAGTGTTAACAAGCACTCAGTTATTTGATTGCTTGTGCATCTTGTGGTTCACTGAATATTTTTGTATTTACCAGAGATATTTCAATGATCAGGCAAGTAATTCTGACAAGCATCTTAAGGAAATATAGTGTGCATGAATCTACACCAAGCAATATGGAAGATATTCTATTAGGTTGTTAAATGAACAGTGAATTGTTAAATAAGTGGACTACATTAATCCTGCTTTTTAGGTACTAATAATTTACCTAAGGAGAGACAGAATGATGCCTGAGGTGAAAACAGAAACAATTACAAACAAATTATAAAATACAGAATAGCATGTCATGATGTGAACATGGACATGACCTTGCCCACAGTGTATAAGAGAATGGAAAAGCATGGCTTTACCTTGCTGGGCTTCCTGCACATCCAGTGGTTAGAAATAAATCTTAATACATTTATAGTGAAGGACAGGGGAGAGGATTTCAGAAGGGTGAGTGGTGTATATAGAGGTGTAGAGGTTGTGGTGAGAAATAGGTGGATGGAAGAGACAAGCCTTAACTGAATGTAAAATAAATGAATTGGCATAGGAATGGAGTTGTAAGTTGGTGCCGGTAGGCATGAATCCTGAACCATTTGTTGAAAAGACTATTTTTTGCACATGAATTGCCTTGGCACCCGCATCCAAAATCAATTGACTGGATTAAAAATGGCGGTGGAGTAAGTGGATGCTACACAGACACACTCCCAGGACCAAACTGGAATTGCAACTAAAATACAAAAAAAAAAGAAAAATCCTGAATAATCAATGGGAGACTAGCTGGAGAGAACGCTGATAACCAACGACATAAAGTGGAGACTACCTAGAGACTGGTAGGAAGGATCTGAAACCAAGATTACTATGTCCAGCAAGGCTATCATTCAAAATAGATGGTCAAATAAAGAGCTTCCCGCACCAAAAAAAGGCTAAAGAAATACAGAAATATAATGGCAATAAATAATAACAATAAATGTAAATAGATTAAATACTCCAATCAAAACTCATAGGGTAGCTGAATGGATACAAAAACATGACCCAACTATATGTTATCTACAAGAGACCCACCTCAGAACAAAAGACACACACATAATGAGAATGAAGGGATGGAAAAAAATTTTCCATGCAAACGGAAAAGAAAAAAACGCTGGAGTAGCAATACTCATATCCAACAAAATAGACTTTATTTTATTTTATTTTTTTAATTAAATCTTTATTGTTCAGATTATTACATTAGTTACTCTTTTTTCCCATCATAACTCCCCTCCACCCAGTTCCAACCCCACCCTCTGCCCTCACTCCCCACCCACTGTCCTCATCCATAGGTGCATGATTGTTATCTAATCTCTTCACTCACCCCCACACCTCTTTCTCCCCCCCCCCAAGAATAGTCAGTCCATTCCCTTTCTATGTCCCTGATTCTAATACAATCACCAGTTCATCAGATTATTTATTCACTTGATTTTTGTATTCACTTGTTGATAGATGTGTATTTGTTGTTCATAATTTGTATCTTTACCTTTTTCTTCTTCTTCCTCTTCTTAAAGGATACCTTTCAGCATTTCATATAATACTGATTTGATGGTGATGAACTCCTTTAGCTTTTTCTTATCTGTGAAGCTCTTTATCTGGCCTTCACTTCTGAATGATAGCTTTGCTGGATAAAGTAGTCTTGGTTGTAGGTTCTTGGTATTCATCACTTTGAATATTTCTTGCCATTCCCTTCTGGCCTGCAAAGTTTCTGTTGAGAAATCAGCTGACAGTCGTATGGGTACTCCCTTGTAGGTAACTGTTTTTCTTTCTCTTGCTGCTTTTAGGATTCTCTCTTTGTCTTTTGCTCTTGGCATTTTAATTATGATGTGTCTTGGTGTGGTCCTCTTTGGATTCCTTTTGTTTGGGGTTCTCTGCGCTTCCTGGACTTGGAAGTCTATTCCTTTCACCAGGTAGGGGAAGTTTTCTGTCATTATTTCTTCAAATAGGTTTTCAATATCTTGCTCTCTCTCATCTTCTGGCACCCCTATAATTCGGATGTTGGTACGCTTGAAGCTGTCCCAGAGGCTCCTTACACTATCTTCATATTTTCGGATTCTTTTTTCATTTTGCTTTTCCGGTTGGGTGTTTTTTGCTTCTTCGTATTTCAAATCTTTGACTTGATCCTTGCGACCTGGTCTGCTGTTGGGAGTCTGTATAATATTCTTTATTTCACTCAGTGTATGCTTAATTTCTAGTTGGTCCTTTATCACAACATCGAGGGTCTCATTAGATTTCTTGAGGATCTCACTACATTTATCGGCGGTCTTACCAGTCTTTTCGAGGATCTCAGTACATTTATCGGTGGTCTCACCAGTCTTTTCGAGGGCCTTACTCAATTTATCAGCGGCTTCTAAACAGTTCTTTAAAGACCTTAAAAGTGTGGTTTTGAACTCTATATCCAACAGTTTGCTTTCCTCCAATTCTGTCGTTTGTGTCCTGTTTCTTTGTCTCGGCATTTTTTATGCTTCGCTGTGTCGATAGAGTGCCTTTCTGTGCTAAGTGTCCCAATTACCTGAGGTAGACACTCTTGGTGCACCCCCTTGTGGGCTTTGTGCACAGTCTTGTTGTGGTTAAGCCTTGATTATTGTAGTTATCACTGTGAGGAATTGACCTCCAGGCCAATTGGCTGTGAGAATCAGCTGTGTCTGCGGTGGGAGAACTTCTGTGCTGGAGACACCCCTCTGGGGATAGACTTGCTTCGATGGGGCTTTGGTGCTCACTGAGTCTGCCCCCTGAGTGTGTCTTTTATGGTTCCACGGAGCTGCAAGCTGCATGGTCCCACTCTGACCTCTGGGCTTCCTGGCTCCTGGATCTCTAGGGAGGTGCTAATCTAGCCTTTGCCTGAGGCTATCCAGCAAAAGCCTCCCTGCAGGGCTTGGGCGGGGCGGGTCCCATGGGATCAACAGGGCAGGGTTAGCAATTATGGCTGCTCTCAGTCTTGCCCTCAGAGGCTCTGCTTCTCAGTGCCCCAGTAGTCACTGCAAGCCCCACGGAGAGAAAGCTGCCCTAGGGTTCTGAGCGATGCTAGACAGTCCCGCTTCTCCCGTATGAGTGTGGGTCCTTAGAGAATCGCCCGGAACTGGAGCTCAGAGCCTGAGACTCCCTCCCGATTGAAAACGACAACCGCGCCCTCAGCCTCCAGCCCGCTCCGCATGCACTCCGAACCTTAGTATTTTACTTCAGCACTGCGCCTCCTCTGAGCCTCGGTATGCTTTTCTCTTTCCTCCTAGTTGTAGAACTTCCACTCAGCCAGCTTTCCTGTGGTTCTGGATGATGTCTGTTCCTTCTTTTAGTTGTATTTTTGAAGTGGTTGTTCGAGGCAGCAAACTCCCGTGTTTACCTATGCCGCCATCTTGGTTTCTCCTCCAAAATAGACTTTAAAATGAAGGCCATCACAAGAGACAACAAAGGTCACTACATAATATTAAAGGGATTGACCCAAAAATAGGCTATAACCCTGGTAAACATATATGCACCCAATATAGGAGCCCCTAAATATATTTTTTTAAAAAACTTCTAGAGGACTTTAACGGAGAGATTGACAACAATACAGTCATAGTAGGGGACTTTAACACCCCACTGACTTCACTGGATAGATCTTCCAGACAGAAACTTAACAAGGAAACAGTGACTACAAAGGACACACTGGATCAGATGGATTTAATTGACATTTATAGAACATTTCACTCCAAAGCTGCAGAATATACATTCTTCTTAAGTGCACATGGATCATTCACAAAGATAGACAACATGTTAGGACACAGAACAAGTCTTTACAAGTTCAAGAAGATTGAAATCATATCAAGGATCTTCTCAGATCACAGTGGAATGAAATTAGAAATCAACTAATGTAAAAACACCCCAAAACATTCAAACACATGGAGGCTAAATAGCATGTTACTAAACAATGAATGGGTTACCAAGGAGATCAAAAAAGAAATTAAAAACTTACTGGAAAGGAATGAAAATGAACTCACATTTCTGGAACACAGCAAAAGCAGTCCTGAGAGGGAAGTTCATAGCATTATAGGCCTACCTCAAAAGACAAGAAAAATTAACAATAAACTAACTCCACAACTTAAAGAACTAGAAAGAGAACAACAAGACAAGCCCAGAGTAAGTAGAAGAAAGGAAATAATAAAGATTAGAGCAGAAATAAATGACATAGAGATTAAAAAACAATACAAAAAAATCAATGAAACCAAGAGCTGGTTCTTTGAAAGGATAAACAAGATTGATGAACCATTAGCCAGACTCAACAAGAAACAAAGAGAGAGGACCCAAATAAACAAAATCAGAAATGAAAGCAGAGAAATAACAACTGACACCACAGAAATACAAAGGATTGTAAGAAAATACTATGAACAACTATATGCCAACAAGCTGGACAATGTGGACGAAATGAACAAATTCCTAGAAAAATACAATCTCCCAAAATTGAATCAGGAAAAATCAGAAAACCTGAATAGGCCAATAACAACTGATGAAATAGAAGCAGTAATCAAAAAACTCGCACCAAACAAAAGCCCATGTCTAGACGGCTTCACAGGGAAGTTTTACCAAACATTCAAAACACTATCACCTATACTTCTCAAACTATTCCAAAAAATCTAAGAGGAAGGAACACTTCCAATCTCTGTTTATGAGGCCAGCATTATCCTAATTCCAAAACCAGGTAAAGACATTACAAAGAAAAGAATTACAAGCCAATACCCCTGATGAATATAGATGCTAAAATCCTCAACAAAATATTAGCAAATTGGTTCCAGCAATGTATTAAAAAGATCATACACCATGATCAAGTGGGATTCATTCCAGGGATACAAGGCTGGTATAATAGTTGCTAATCAATAAATGTGATACATCACATAAACAAATTGAAAGATAAAAATTCCATGATCATATCAATAGATGCAGAAAAAGCATTCGACAAAATCCAACACCCATCCTATATAATAAAAGGCTAATATGCAAATTGACTGAATGGCAGAATGACTGGTCGCTATGATGGGCACTAATAACCAGGGGACAGACGCTCAACGCAGGAGCTGCCCTCTGGCGGTCAGTGCATTGCTATAGCGGGAATGCCACTCAGCCAGAAGCCAGGCTCATGGTGGCGAACGAGAGGGTGCAGGTCGGGCTGAAGGTCCTCCTCTCACCCCCGCCCCGAGTGCATGAATTTCGTGCACCGGGCCTCTAGTTTTTGATAAAAACTCTCAGCAAAGTGGGAATAGAGGGAGCATATCTCAACAGGATAGAGGCCATATATAACAAACCTACCGCAAACATCATACACAACGGGCAAAAACTAAAAGCATTTCCCTTAAGAACAGAAATAAGACAGGGATGTCCACTTTCACCCCTCTTGTTCAACATAGTACTGGAAATCCTAGCCACAGTGATCAGACAAGAAGAAATAAAAGACATCCAAATGGGAAAGAAGGAAGTAAAACTCTCATTATTTGCAGGTGACATGATATTGTACATAGAAAACCCTAAAGACTCCACCAAAAAAACTACTAGATTTAATAAATGAATTTGACAGCTCTGCAGCATAATTTAAGCCATGGAGGAGCTGTAGTTGTCACAATCTACAAGATGGGCTTTTCGAAGCTGCCAGAACTGAACAAATTGAGGCTGCTCTAATCAGCACCGAAGTTGAAGATTTAAGGCAAAGCTTGCCATTAAGAAAATTGAAAAGAAGCTTGAAGAAGAAGGGTAACAGTTTGTGAAGAAAATCAGTGGTATTTTGGCCTTTAAGGTGAAGGATGGCCCTGGGGGTAAAGAAGCCACCTGGGTGGTAGATGTGAAGAATGGCAAAGGATCAGTGCTTCCCAACTCAGATAAAGAGGCTGACTGCACAGTTATAATGGCTGACTCAGACTTGATGGCTTTGATGATGGGTAAAATGAATCCTCAGGTAAATTGAAAATCACTGGCAACATGGGTCTGGCTATGAAGTTACAAAATCTTCAGCTCCAGCCTGGTAAAGCTAAGCTGTGAAGAACTTCCTGTGCCTTCCTTTGAAAATCAAGATGAGATTTACAAATATATATCCATATATTTCACTGTCAGAACTTAGACTGAAACCATGCATTGGCAACTAGCATGAGATTTGTTTTTAAGTGGGTGTGACCAATCCTGTTTTCCCTAAGCTCTGGGTGAATAGAGCCTGATGGTGTACTATTGCTTTGCTGAATTGCATACAACTGTGTGTTAAAACGTTCATATGATAATTGTGGTTTTGGGTAAAATTGAGTTCCAGAATAAAATTAGGAACAGCAAAATCCAAAAACTATGTAAACAAAAGCTCTCATTTTGCTTATGAAGTATATTTGAGGATTATTCTGCTGAAGATTCAATTTAGTTTTACTTGGGGTAACTAAGGGAGAAACAAAATACCAGAAGCTGGCCAGAAATCACTGTTGTGCACTTAATGACCTTAATCTGTTTTCCATTAATAGTTTTTAAAATTCTGGGCTGGAATTAAAACAATTAAAAATTTTTGCATTTTGTGCCATCAGAATGGCATTTTCTTCCCAAATCTAAATAAAAGAAATATCAGAACTTGGGGGGAAATTTTGTAGCTGAACACAGGCCCATTTTTTAAAATAAAAATATCTTTAGTTTCCTTCTTAAAAAATCAGTGGTAAATTATTTTAATAATAAAATTTGCTTTGATATGCACACTTTAAAAATTATCTCATATTAATTTAAGTTTATAAAGTTCAATCCTGTTATAATTTTTCTTTTCATATGTTTAGTTTAATAATTATTTACATTTATCTTTCTTCTTAGTTTTTCTAGGCTAATGTTATTTCTTATAACTCAGTAAGATATGGGGTAAAATAATGGAAGAATATTTAATAGAAAATTAAAATTGCTCTTCCTGAAAAAAAATAAAATAAATGAATTTGGCAATATGGCAGGATACAAAATCAACACCTAAAAATCAATGGCCTTTTTATTGACCAACAACGAATTCTCAGAAACAGAAACTAAACAAATAATCCCATTTACCATTGCAACAAAGAAATTAAGATACTTAGGAATAAACTTAACCAAGGAGGCAAAGGACCTGTACTCAGAAAACTATCCATGATCTATTGATGGACATGTGTGTTGTGTCTGCCTTTGGCTCTTATGAGTAATGATGCTATAACATTTGTATACACGTTTCTTCATGGACCTGTTTTCATTTTTGTTGGGTGCATTCCTAGGAGAGGAGTTGATGGGACCTACGGTAATGTTACGTCTAACATTTGAGGAACAGCCAAGCTTTTCCATGGTGTCTGCAGCATTTACATTCCCACCAGCAGTGTATGAGCGTTCCCATTTGTTGACAGTTGCCAATACTTATTTTCTCATTTTTATAATTATTAAAGCTGTTCTAATGAATATGAAGTATCCTGTGGCTTTGATTTGCATTTCCTTGATGACCAGTGATACTGAATATATTTTCATGTGCTGTTACCTATTTCTAATCTTCGGATAAATGTCATTCAAGTCCTTTGCTTATCTTTGTTGTTGAGCTGTTTTCTAAAATTTCACCTTGCAGTTTGTATGTTGGCTTAACTTGAAAACAAATGAATTATTTTGGATTAACTGGAATTCTGGAAAATGAATTTGTCAAATAATTTCATCAAACTATTCCTAGGAAAAGCACAATCCGCACGGGGAGTTCACTATTGACAACTTGACAATCACCGTGTCTGATTTCTTTGGAGCTGGGACAGAGACGACGAGTACCACGCTGAGATATGCTCTCCTGCTCCTGCTCAAGCACCCGGAGGTCTCAGGTACGCCCAGCATGGGGGGAGGGCTGAATTTCAGAAAAGACGTTGGAAAGACACGGCAAGGACATTCCATCTTGTTTCTCTTAGAGAAATGTCATTATTAAAATGCCTTCTGACCTGCTTCATTTTTCCAAGTTTAAAGAAGGGATAATAATGGGACATCTTTCTAAAATACAGGCTGATGTCTGAGAGGAGTGAAGACGCTGTGGGCAGTGGCCAAAGCAATACAGTGCGGTCTGGATTTCCTGGGAGGTTATGTGTGGCAGGCACACACCAGCTTGGAGTGGCCTGGGACTGCACAGTGGTTTTATTATGAAAAGGCTACTCACTTTAAACAGTGGGTATATTCCTCAGAGATCTGGCCTCATTCTGAGAATGCAGGTTTCTAATGGAAACTCTTCTTACTGAAGCATAAGTGAAAATCCTAAGGAATTACTTAGTGAGGCTGCCTGAGATCATTTCCAGTCTAGAAAGTGTCCCAAAAATTGAGATTCACAAGCATTGTGGTCCTATTCAGGCTTAAGATATTGCATAAAGGAATTCTGTTATTTCAGAAGTCTGTTTCCAGAAAGGAGTTGGTTGCCAAAACAAGATCTTTTCCAAGCACTTTATATTAGAAATATACCTTTTTTAAAAAACCCTCACCCGAGGATATTTTTCCATTGATTTTTAGAGAGAGTGGAAGCGAGAGGAAAAGACAGAGAGAAATATCGATGTGCGAGAAATACATCAATTGGTTGCCTCCTGCACTAGCCCTGACCAGGGTGTGGGCCAGGGAGGAGCCTGCAACCGAGGCACGTGCCCTTGATGGCAATCAAACCTGGGACCCTTCAGTCCGCAGGCCAATGCTCTTATCCACTGAGCCAAACTGGCAAGGGGAGAAATATACGTTTATAGAGTTACGGTTATGCATAGCAGTTTAGAAACATACATTATTTTTTCCTGTGTTAAAATCTCACTAAAATGGTTACAACCTATTGCAAATGAGAATTAGTCTTCTAAAGCTGGATAAGAGGTCAGGAAACAGCCAACAAATCTTCAACAAATATCTGAAATGCAGAGAGCATACAGAGGGGAGATAATGAACTCAGTAGAAAGGATGAAATTGTAACCTCAGTGTCAGAAGAGGAAGTTCCATGAGGAGGAAAAGTTCTTTGTGGTTCTTAGGATATATTCCCAGAAGTGGGGTCACTAGGTCAAAAGGCAGTTCCATTGTTAATTTTTTGAGGAACCTCCATACTGTTTTCCACAGTGGCTGCAACAGTCTGCATTCCCACTAGCAGTGCACGAGGGTTCCCTTTTCTCCACATCCTTGCTGACACTTGTTTGTTAATTTGTTGGTGATAGCCATTCTGACAGGTGTGAGCTGACACCTGGTTTTAATTTGCATCTCTCTGATGATTAGTGATGTTGAGGTTTTTTCCTGTCTATTGGTCATCTGTATGTCCTCTTTGGAGAAGTGTCTATTCAGGTCCTTTGGTGCAATAAGCCAGTCAGTGAAAGACAAATACCAAATGATCTCACTTACTAGTATATGTGGAATCTAATGAACAAAATAAACTGACGAACAAAATAGAAACAGAGGCATGGATCCATGGAACAGACTGACAGCTGACAGAGGGGAGGGGCTGGGTTAGTCTGGGTGAAAAAGGTGAAGGGATTAGCCAAAGAACACACGCGCATACCCCATGGACACAGACAACAGTGTGGCGATAGCCAGAGGGAAGTGAGGGGCTAGAGCTGGGTGGAGGCAGGCAAAGGTAAGGGGAGGATGGGGGCGGGGGCGGGGGCAGGGAGATTGGGGACATCTGCAATAGTGTCAACAATAAAAATCAAGTTTAGAAAATTTATTTGTGTCCCTACATCCCTATAAGTTTTGGTATTTATTTTTTTTATTTTTTTTATTGATTTCAGAGAGGAAGGGAGAGGGAGAGAGAGATAGAAACATCAGTGATGAGAGAGAACCATTGATTGACTGCCTCCTGCACGCCCCACACTGGGGGTTGAGCCCACAACCCAGGCATATGCCATGACTGGGAATCAAACTGTGACCGCCTGGTTCATAGGCTCAAACACTGAGCCACATTGGCTGGGTGTATAAGGTTTGGTATTTAGAAGTAGCAGTGCCAAAGAAGATAGAAGCAGAAACAGGCTGAAAAGGTAGCTCTCCCTGCCCAAGTCCCTTTGACAACTCCTTTTATCAGGTAACTGCTTTTCCCCAATACAATGAGGGAGGTTTATTTTCTAGAGAAATGACAGGGAAAGAGTGAGATGTAGGGCTGAAAAGAAACGTTAGGTAAGAATCTATTTCTAGAATTCAGAGACTCTTAGTTGCTTTCTCCATCCTACTTCCTGAAATTCAGCAGCCAGATTTTTAAAAAACTCCAGAGAGTGAACAGGTCTGGAGGAAAGCCCTCCATAGTTGCCATGCAGATAGAAAATTCTTTTGACACGTGTATCAGAGTGAATGAAATAAAAGCATCCAACCCAAGACACAGGGTCAGAACACCAGGATTAAAAAAAAAATCACAAAAACCTTCATAGAGTTGCATCATGTCATGTGTAAAGATTGGGATTCAAACACCATCAGAATTCTCAAGAGCAACTATCAAATGTGTATTAATAAGAGTATATTCTCAGACCTGTACGTTTGACAAAAACTTTACACCCCACCCCCCTTTTCCCTTTTTCATCCAAATGTCTGTTTCCACGTCAGAGGAAGTCATGGGCTCAAGAAATCAGGAGGGCTCAAAGGAGAAGGAAATTGTCAGGGAGCTTGCTAGATGCCAGGCCTCGGAAATATCCACTTCAAAATGATTAGGTGGATAAAGCAGGTGTGAGGGGAGACACCAAGCAAAAAAGAGAAATGATTGATTATCTGAGGTTTCCTAATAACGGGGAAATTGTTATTAGGAGTTAGAAGCATCTACCTCAGTATTCAGACATAATTCCAAATCGACAGTGCCCTCGGCGGTCCAGGGCCTGACTCTTGCTTCAACAGTGTTTGGACGGAACAGACCCCGGGACGCCCCTCCTTCCAGTCTCCGACCACCTTCCAGCGTCTTATCCCCTCACCACCTTCAGAGCCACCTCTGAGACCAGCCAACACACCGGGTGTTTTTCTACCTTAACTCCTTGCAGAACAACCATGAACTCCCAAACCCGTCAGAATTATTCCACCGAGGGGGAGGCTGCCGTCAACCGCCTGGCCTGCATCTGCAGGCTCCCACCTACCTCTCTCTGGGCTTCTTTTTTGAACACTACGTTGTGGCTCTCCAGGGCGCCATTTCTTCCCCGAGTTGGCCGGAGAAGCCCGAGGGCGCTGAGCGGCTCTTAAAGTTGCAAAACCATCGCGGTGGCTGCATTCTCTCCAGGACACGCTGAGCCTCCCCAAGATGAGTGGGTGAAACTCAGGGCCATGGAGCCGCCAGGGCCTTGGAGAGGAACCTGAACCAGGCCCTGTGGGAGCTGTAGGCCCTGGTTCTACCTGCGCAGTCCCTCAGCTCTGTGACTTCCGGGAGAACCACTTCCTGGGCGAGGAGGTGAAGCTCATCAAGAAGATGGGCGACACCTGGCTCCCCTCCACAAGCTGGCGGACCCTGAGGCTATGCTGGGTGAGGCTCACCCTCCAGTGCAACCAGGAACCTTTGGAGCCCAGAGGCCTTTGAGGGGCCCCCTATGCATTCCCTGATGTATGGCGTTTACCTAAGCCTCTCCCCCAAACTGCTAGCTGAAAAATCAGACAGGCCGAAAACCAGGACTACAGGCTTTATTAGAGGAGAAGGACCTGCCGGGCTGTCTCGCAAGGGGAGGACAGCAGCACGTGCAGAGGTGGGCACGCCTTTTGAGGGGCGGAATGGGAAGGGGTGGGGGCTTAGTGTACTCGGCGCACACTGATTGGTGGCTTACTGTATGGTCCATATAGGAACAAGGGCTTAGGGTATTTGGCAGGTGTGGATTGGTGGTCCAATGTATAGTCTATATAAGGTACATGGTTAGTCACTCAGGTATTTCCGGGCTGCAGGTTACATCTTACTCTGCCCACCAGTTGGGGGAAGGGAGGATCTATCATTCCAGGCTTTTGGTAATAGTAAAAAAATTGAGTGTCTGGGCAAGGTCAGGGGGCGAAGGTCTGTCTTCCATAGATACTTCCTGCTGACAGGGGGCGTAGTCAGGGAGGATCTATCACTAGCCATTCTTTTAACCACCGTGAAGCCCTCTCCCATGCATTGGACCAAATGAAACAATAAAGCTTTTTGTAGCAAGAGAGAGAGAGAGAGAGATTTTAAATGAAGATATAGAAAATTATGAATTGAATGAAAGAATCATGATTAAGTCCAAGAAAGTACCAAAAATGAAACATAATCATAGTCATCTTACCAGAGAGGATATATAGTCAGAATGATGTTGAAATGTGATCTAACTATATTTGGGGGAAAAATAATGAAGGGAATTGTGTGGGTGTCTGTGTGTATTTTGTATGAGGTGCGGATGGAGAAGTAAATTCTCACCTTCCATACCAGGAAATCAGATATTGTCTAAAAATAGGCAAGTAAGAAATAGAAGTCTTCATTTATTTATTTATTTAAAATAGACTTTTATTGATTTCAGAGAGGAAGGGAGAGGGAAAGAGATAGAAACACAAAAAACACACAAATACACAAAACATACATTATCATTTTACTTTCCAACCCACATATTATTTTGATATAAAATTATATTTGATTTCCTATTTTTCTTTGTACAAGGACTGTAATTCCTTGACCATTTCATCATTTCTGTTTATATCATGAGGTATGCTTATACAGGTATGAGTTGATGTATCTTAAGTCTAGCTAGTAGGAGAGCTGTATGTATCTACATGGCAATTATTTCTCTATGTCTGGGTGTATTTCTGGGCATATAACTGATGTTTACAATGACATCGAGACACCCTAGTGCTGCATGTATCCCTGAATTGGAATGTAAATACGGTATGCATTTTCCTGTTTTCCATCTGTCTTACTTATGTCTTACCAGCTAAAGTCCAGGAAGAGATTGACCGTGTCATTGGCAGAGAGCGGAGCCCCTGCATGCAGGACAGGAGCCACATGCCCTACACGGATGCCATGGTGCATGAGGTCCAGAGACACCTTAACTTCCTCCCCACCAACCTGCCCCATGCGGTGACCTGTGATGTTAACTTCAGAAACTACCTCATCCCCAAGGTAAGATGTGTTTCACCCACACTGACCTCAGTGGTCTTGGAGGTCCCATTTTCACAGCATGGTGTTCATCTTCTACCAACACAAGATGAGAGACGGGCAGAAGCCACACTTGTGGCAGCTTGAGGGACTCTAGTATTTCCAGTTGAGACTATCAACCTGTATAACAGGTTCTGACATCTGGCAGTGTAGGTCTTGCAAATGTGTCCTACTTCTTTAATATTGTTTGGCTAATCTTAGCTGCTTACATTTCCAAACTAATGTTAATATCAGTTTGTCAATTTGCCAAAACAATCTGCTGGGACTTTTACCAGGGTGTCATTAGATCAATTTGGAAAGTCATGACACATTGAATCTTTCAATTAATAGGTATACAATCCCAATTGGGAGGGGTTTTCTTTAATTTTCCTTTTTTTTATAAATATACTTTTATTGATTTCAGAGAAGAAGGAAGAGGGAGAGATAGAAACATCAATGATGAGAGAGAACCATTGATTGGCTGCCTCCAGCACATCCCACACTGGGGATCAAGTCCACAACAAGGGCACATGGCCTGAACGGGAATTGAACAGTGACCTCCTGGTTCATAGGTCAACACTCAACCACTGAGCCACAGCAGCCGGCCTTTAATTTTCTTAATACATTTTTTCAGTGCATGGAAATATAATTGATTGTATTGTTTTGATGACCTTATATGTAGCAGCCTTGCTAAATTTAAAATCATTGCTGGTAATTTGTCTCCAGGTTAATCTGCAGTTTCTACATACATCACCCTGCTATCTGGGTTAAATATCCTTGTTTCATCCTTTCTTTCTAATTTTCAGGAAAGTGGAGGTTTAACATCTCACTAGTGAGAATGTTTTGGTAGATATTCTTTATAGATTGGGAATTTTACCCTCTTATTTTTCATGATTTTTTGTCCTGAATGTGTATGTGATATTTTCATATCAATTTTCTGCACCTATTGGTTTGGTTGTATATTGGCTTCACTTTCCCACTCAGTGTGCCTACACAGCTGGACTTGATTTGCTACATTTTGTTCAGGACTTCTGTATTTATACTGATAAAACGTTTTTGGTCTACAATTTTTCTTCTTCAAAATTTTCTTGTCATATTTCTGATATGAAGGTAATGCTGGTCTCAAAAAAGTAGGTGCCCTAATGTAGGTTTATTTTGATTGTCTTCCCTCTTCTTGTGGCCACTTAGCCATGTCTTTGAAATGCATGGCTTATTATTTGTCCGTGTCACAGAACACTTCTCAATGATGTGAGGTTGACTTGTGCTTTATTTTGGTCCTATCTAAAGAATATTGCCAGAACAGGGTCTCAAAGGTTTACGCTTATCTATTTCTAAAACCTTATAGTTTTAGCACTTACATTTAGATCATTGATCCATTCAGGTAAATTTGTACTGATGGTGTGAAATAATGGTCACACTTCCTTTATTTCTTGTGAATATCTATTTGAGCAACACAACAGAAATATATTGCCTTTTGTACTTTTTTCATATCTTAAAGTAAATTTTTCATATATTATTTGTTTAAAAATATACAAGGGGCCCTGGCCGGGTTTCTCAGTGGGTGGAGCATGTCCCATACATCAAAAGGTTGTAGGTTCAATTCCCAATCAGGGCAATACCAAGGTAGCAGATTTGATCCCCGGTGTGAGCAAGTATGGGAGGCAACCAATTATTCACCCAACAGTTTTAATGTTAATTGATAAAACTTGACTGGATTAATAATCCTAAAATGAATTGTTGCAAAATGAGGATTTTTTTTCTAATTTTAACATTCTGTATTTGTAGGCTAGGATTAATCTGTAATTAAATCTCCCTTATATTTTTATTTATTTTATTTATTTTAAAAGTTATAGTTGGCATACAATGTTATATTAGTTTCAGGTGTATAACATAGTGATTCAGTATTTTTTGTTGTTGTTGTTAACCCTCACCCAAGGATATTTTTCCATTGATTTTTAGAGAGAGTGGAAGGGAGGGGGAGAGAGAAATATCAATGTGAAAGAGACACATTGATTTGTTGCCTCCCACACATGCCTTGACCAGGGCCAGCACTGCAACATGCTCTTGATCCAAACTGAACCCAGGACCCTTGAGTTCAAGGGCTGATGCTCTATCCACTGAGACAAACAGCTAGAGCTCAACATTTATTTTTTTGAATTTTATTTTTCAACTAGAGGCCTGGTGCACAAAATTCATGTACTGGTGGTGGTGGTGGGGGGTGTCCCTCAGCCCAGCCTGTGCCCTCTCACAGTCCGGTGCCTCTTGATCCTTACCACCCGCCTGCAGCGGAGGCAGGCGAGGCTCCTGCCACCACCACTGTGCTCGCCAACCATGAGCCTGACTTCTGGCTAAATGGTGCTCCCCCTGTGGGAGTGCACTGACCACCAGAGGGCAGCTCCTGCATTGAGCATCTGCCCCCTGGTGGTCAGTTGGTGTCATAGCGACCGGTCGTTCTGCCGTTCGGTCAATTTGCATATTAGGGTTTTATTATATAGGATTATAGTTTACATTCAATATTATTTTGTATTAGTTTCAGGTGTATAGCATAGTGGTTATACAATCATATACTTTACAAAGTGTTCCCCCCCCCCATAATTTTAGTATCCACCTGACACCATATATAGTTATTATATTATTAACTATATTCCTTATGCTGTACTTTACATCCCCGTGACTATTCAACATTTATTTATCTTATGTGCTCACCACACTAAGTCCAGTAACCATCTGTCACCATGCAAAGCTATCACACTACTATTGATTATTATATTGCTCTTCACCTTTTTTATCCATCTCTCTCCTTCTTCCCTCTGGCAACCATCAGTTTGTCCTTTGCTTCTATGTTTTTAAATCAAGACAAACAATCTACATGGCAATGATAAGACTAACAGTTGTATTTATTGTCATGACCACAGAAAAGATTACTTTTTATTAGATCAGATGTCTGTTTATAAAAGCCATATGAACAGATAACTCCAGACATTTCAAGTTCCAACTTCCGTTTTTTAAACCTTCCATTTTAAACCATAATTCACCTATGAGATGAGTGAAGGTTGAAGTCATAAAATAAAGTAGGTGGTGGGGACATACAGCAGTGTCCAAACGTGGTGATGAGCAGAATGGATTCAGAAGGCCTGCCCCGCTAGGACCCATGTACTCAGCACTTCAAATGCTATTGGAATTCACTTTAGCAACATCCCTGTCACTGGTCTTAAACTGCTCATTGTTTATTACTTGTTCTCTCTGGCTCACAATGCCACTGCCCTTCTTAGGACCTAGGATTCCTCATCTATAGATCATAAAATTGGACTAAAGGACTTGCAATCTTTCTTCCAGCTCCATAACTTCTTCTTCTTCTTCTTCTTTTCAAATTTTAACAGCCAACAGTTAGTCTTTTATATATATATATATATATGTGTGTGTGTGTGTGTGTGTGTGTGTGTGTGTGTGTGTGTATATATATATATATATATATATATATATTGATTTCAGAGAGGAAGGGAAAGGGAGAGAGAGATAGAAACATCAATGATGAGAGAGAATCATTGATTGGCTGCCTTCTGCACGCTCCCCACAGGGGATCGAGCCTGCAACCCAGGCATGTGCCCTTGACTTGAATCAAACCCAGGACCTTTCAGTCCACAGGCCCAAGCTCTATTAACTGAGCCAAACCAGATAGGGCTCCACCACGCCTTCATAACTGACTTTACCTTCTGTTTTTTCCAGGGCACAACTATTATAACAAATCTGACTTCTGTGCTGCGAGATGACAAAGAATTCCCCAACCCAGAGAAGTTTGATCCTGGCCACTTCCTGGATGAGGAAGGCAACTTCAAGAAGAGTGACTACTTCATGGCTTTCTCAGCAGGTAATACAATTTTATTTTCTTCTCTTTTTATAAAATATATTTTTTTCATTGATTTTTTTTTAAGAGAGAGAGGAAGGAAGAAGAGATGGGAACATCAATGGGAGAGAAATATCGGTGGGCTGCCTCCTGCACGCACCCTAATGAGGGTGGAACCTGCAACCCAGGCATGTGCTCTGACCAGGAATCAAACCGGCAACCTCTTGGTGCATGGGATGATGCTCAACCAACTGAGGCACACCGACTAGGCCACAAATTTATTTTCGTTGGTACTTCATGGGGCAGGATATTTTTGGGAATCAGTTGGAACTTACGTAGCCCTCACCCTGGGACTGGTAGAATTGCTCTTTGTCCATGGCCAGAAGCACCTCTCCCCAGGCCCACACACTATCTCTCCTCATGGCCCACCCTTGTTATTAGGCCAGATCACTGGGGTTTTGGAGAGTTGACTCAGTTCTTCCAAGTTCAGAAATGAAATCTGAGCTAGGTACTGAAAATACAAGAGACTTGCATGCATCCCAGCCCAAAAGAACAGTGTGGTACAATACTGGAAACTTCAGGGTGTGTAGGAGATTGATGAAGAAGTAGGTGTACGTAGAGCAGGAACAAAGGCTATGAGAATGTGAAGAATGATCATGAGACATCAGGCTACAAACAGAAAGTACAACCAATGTATTTGTGTTTCTAGGAAAAGACTGGTAGCAACCTGAAAGAGAAGTTATCAAGTGAGAACACTTAATGAAATACTTGGTATAGTGCTGATTCTCAATAAATATTTGTTGAAAGAAGTATACCTGTTAGGATAAGACAGTGGTCGGCAAACTGCTGCTCGCGAGCCACATGCGGCTCTTTGGTCCTTTGAGTGTGGCTCTTCCACAAAATACCGACTTCTGCGCATGGGCCACGAAGTTTCAATCGCACTGTACATGCGTGCCCGCACGTGGTATTTTGTGGAAGAGCCACACTCAAGGGGCCAAAGAGCCGCAGTTTTCCGACCGCTGGATAAGATGTTGGGTGGACAGGATATATGTCCACCCTTTGTCCATCTGCTTATCCAACCATTCTGCCTGCCATCCATCCATCCAACCATCCAACCAACCATTAATCAAATAATTACTGCACATTCTCTTCCTGGCATCCAGGAAGTCAGTGTTCCAGGATTATCTACTCTCTGTGTGTGTTATTTTCAGGAAAACGGATGTGTGCAGGAGAGGGCTTGGCCCGCATGGAGCTGTTTTTATTCCTGACCACCATCTTACAGAAGTTTACCTTGAAAGCTGTGGTCGATATAAAGGACCTTGATGTCACCCCAGTTATGAATGGCTTTGCTTCTGTGCCGCCTCCTTACCAGCTCTGCTTCATTCCTGTGTGAAGAAGGACAGACCTTCTGTCAGCAACTCCCACTCATCTGGGGCATCGTTCATCTCTTTCCCTCTCCATCCCCTTCCTGGGGGTCCCTTCTCTGACCTCTCCTCTCCTCATCACCTCCTTCTCTCAAGATCCAGGATTATGCAGCCTCCATGAAAGGACCATTTCCTGAGTCTCACTGGGCAATGGATCTGCTCTTCTCCATACTCTGAAACATTTGCATTGGCCACACGTATGCTAACATAATGCTGAGTGGTACTGTGTAGCCAATATGAACAGAGCAAGCTGATTACTGTGCGCCAGGACAGAGCCATTCTCCTCTGCGTGTTCTCAATAAAAAGCATCATTTGCTGAGCCCGTTCTCAGACTTCCTTCCTTTGTGCATAAGGCAGGTAAAAAAATGAAAGAAAGTAGCCCTAGCTGGTTTGGCTCAGTGGATAGAGCGTCGGCCTGCGGACTGAAGGGTCCCGGGTTCGATTTCAGGTGCAGGCTCCTCCCTGACCCAGGCCATGGTCGAGGTGTGTGCAGGAGGCAACCAATTGATGTATTTCTCTCTGTCTTTCCCTCTCTCCTCCAGTCTCTAATGGAAAAACATCCTCTGGTGAGGATTAAAAAAGAAAGTAATACAAAGAGGCATGCTGGTCCTCCTAAGGATAAGCACAGAGAAGGACAAAGGAGACACACACAGAAAAGCTCTCTTGGCTGTATGTCACTTAGAGTTACTTGAGGTTTGGATTTAAAAGAGAGAAAAATTGTGTTCAGGAGCAGTTTCATCACTGGGATCGGGATCAGTAATAGCGAGGAAGTAAATACAAAGGAAGCCACAGAAACCTAAAAATAAAAATCAGAGCAGAAATAAAAACACACATGTGTAAACAGGAAATCAATAGAAAAAATTAATGAAAAAAAGCTGTTTTTGAAAGTTCAGTAGAATTGATAAACCCATATAGCCAGTACCCCCTGAAAAGAGAGAAGATACAAATTAGTGTTGTCCAAGTGAAAAGAAGGGCCATTGCTTTGATGCCATGGACATTAAAAGGATCATAAAGGAATATTATGGACAACTCTATGTCCACAAATTTAATAACCTACGTGGAATGGGCCATTTCCTTAAGCACGGTCTGTCAGACCTGACAAGAGAGAGTAACAGCAATAGGTCCTTCAAGAAGAACACGTGAATCTGGGGGGCGGGGGGGCCTGTGATCATCCTGGGAGCTCCTTACCCCGGAACCTTCCAGGGAACAGGGGCAGCTCTGAGGGGAGAAGGGAAAGCCCTGTCGAGGTGCAGCTCATGTGAGGAATCCCATCTGCATGCCCACCCTCCAGTGCACCTACACTGCTGAGCGGGGCCTCACCGCTAGCTGGACCCCACACGGCCAGGGCACCAGCCCTCAGAGCATCCAGCCTCTGGCCCTCCACAAACTCTCACCACTCACCACCCAGTTCAAAGCTATTATTATTTTTCAAAAATATATTTTTATTGATTTCAGAGACAGGGGGAGAAGGATAGAGAGATAGAAACATCAATGATGAGAGAGAATCATTGGTCGGCTGCCTCCTGCACGCCCACTACTGGGGAACGAGCCCACAACCCAGGCATGTGCCCTTGGCTGGAATCGAACCTGGGACCTTTCAATCCGCAGGCTGAGGCTCTACCCACTGAGCCAAACTGGCTAGGGCAAAGCTATTATTGTAATCAACAGATATATATTAAGGCCCAGAAGCATCTTTTGCTTGCTCTTCCCACGGGGGTACAGATAACATGAAGATCAAGGAACAGTGTTTTGATAAACCAAGGGATTCTAGTACCTGAATTGCTCACAGAGAATGTGTGCCTTGAGGAGAGTGGACGAACCTGTGGGATTGAGATCTGCTACTTAGAGTATCTATTAGACTGTACAACAGAACAAGAGCAACATAAATGATGTCTATTTAATAAAACTTCTGAAAACTGTTACCACCGTCAAGATGCAAAGTGAACACAAGCGAAACTACTACGGGCTTGTTCTTGGCTGAACAGCTTTGCCCTCAGACAACCCTGCTTGCACATTATACCCCTCCAGGCTCCGCCCAATTTGGGAAACTCTCCGGTGACTTCCATGAACTGCTTTCTTGTAATTTCTCCAGATTGAAACATTGTTCTCCAGGAGAAAGTGAGATTTATCGAGCTACTCCAGCATGGCCAGGATTAACTTCTCCACCATATCACTGGACTTCAGGAAAGGGACCCACTTCCATCCCAGCCCCACAGCTCCTGCCCTGGAGTGAGTTCTGGGAAGAGGCTGGGGTGCCTGGTTTGTCCTGATTTCAATCCCTGACCTCACTCACTCATCACACAGTCATTCCTTAAGTACATTCTGAAAGACAGTGTAGCTTGTTGATTAAGATGTGGCTTCTGAAGTCAGATGGTCAGGGTTCAAGTCCTGTCTCTGCCACCTATAAACCAAGTGTCCTTGGGTAGGAAGGATATTTCACCTTTGTGTGCCTCACTCTTCTCATCTCTGAAATGGGGAGGGTAGCAGTCCTGACATCAGAAGGCTGTTGTGAGGATTACATGAGATGGTTCAGCCAGAGCATAATGTCAAACGCTAAAAACATGAGCTATTGTTTGTGGGTTCTGGTACCCACACAGGCACTGGAATCAGGATGGAGAAGGACCAGATGAGAGACATTGTGTTTCTTTAGACTTGGTTTATGGAAGTCTGGACCACTTACTGGTCTTGTGATTTTGGACATGTTAGTGAACATGTCTGTGCCTCAGTGTCCATATCGGTTAAATGGGGGTGGATTAAACTGTACCAATTTCACTGAATTGAGTATGTTGTTTTCATAGGAGAATAGGGTCTACCACATCATAAATACTTCAAAGTTATATCACTGTGAGGATCGTTTTTACCTATTGTAACGATGCACCACAATGCGCTTACCACCTCCAGTAGCACTTAAATTTTTTTCAAATCTATCATGAATAATCATGAAATGAACGTCCACATCCATGCAATTAAGGGACACATTCAAGAATATCCATGAAATAAATGCATAAGAAGTGGAATTGCTTGAAAGACAGGTATGAGCCTTTTCATTTTAACAGACATGGTCAAATCCACCTTCAAAGAGAAAGCATGAATTCACACTCCCACAAACAATTCACTCATTCATTCTTCATTCATTCAAGTAGTCATTCATTTTCTCAAATATTTACTGAGCCAAAATGTGCCAGGCACTACTCCAGCCGGTGGATGTTTGTTAGTGAGCAAAACAAAGATACTTGCTTACCTGGAACATGTATGTTAGCAGATGGTAGGTACACACGAGTAATTCAGTGTGGTTTTAATTTTTATTCCCCCCACAACTAATAAAGTTGAGGACTTTTTCTCATGTTTATTGACCACATGAAAATCCTCTTCTGTGAAGTGACTATTCAATCATTTTGTCCATTTAAAAAATACTTGGGCGTCTTTGTGTTGTTTTCAGTTCTTTATGAAATCTGGATATAAGTCCTTCTGTGGATATATTCATTGGAGATATTTCTCCCAGTCTGTACCTTGCCTTTTGAGTATCGTAAATGGTATCTTTTGATGAATAGGTAGGAGTTTAAATACTAATTTAACTAAAGACCTATTTATTGATCTCTTATAATTAGTACTTTTTGTGGCCCATTTTTGAAAAATTTTTGCAGAGTTCAAGGTCATAAAGACTTTCTCTTATGTCTCACACTAGAGGCTTTATAGTTTTATTTCTTTTGTTTGTTTTGTTAATCCTCACCTGAGGATATTTCTCCATTGATTTTTAGGGAGAGTGGACAAGAGAGGGAAAGACAGAGAGAAACATCGATGTGAGAGAAACATGTCGATTGGTTGCCTCTTGCACGAGCCCCGACCAGGGCCTGGGCCGGGGAGGAGCCTGCAACCAAGGTTCGTGCCCTTGACCGGAATCGAACCTAGGACCCTTTGGTCCGCAGGCCAATGCTCTATCCACTGAGCCAAACCAGTTAGGACTATTGTTTTATTTTTTAAAGGATGGGGAAATGAGAAGAGACAGAGCTCAGGAATGTCATTCCTCCTGGTACGAAAGAGGTGGATAACGGCTAACACACCAAACTGAGTGCGTCTGGCTCGTTCAGATGAGGCGAGAGTCTTGTTCTGCAACCTGCCCCTTCCTCAGACGGGAATGAAACAAAGCTCATAGGAGGGAGGTACAGAGCCGAACCCATTGACAACTGGGGTGGTGTCAATGTCCTTCGGATCAACCAGAGGTTTCAAGGTGAAATGCTGTAAAATATGGGTCAGTAGTAAAAACAACTCCATGCGGGCCAGGCCTTCTCCAACACACACTCTTTTTCCTGAAAATGACACATAAATTAAATATGCATTCCGTTCTATTTCTGAGTTAGCACACAAAGAGGCTTAGAAAAGATGGGACGAATAAGTAAAGAAATATATTAATAAAAGCCGAATTAACCTATGGCTTCTCCTACCTACATCGAAACCTGGTTTTCTTCATTTCCTCAGCACATGTTTTGTGTGCATGTTATATGAAAAGATCTTTTCTGTGCACCCACGTTGGATTGGCTTTGCTGAGACCTGTCAGTGACATCTTTCTACACACACACACACACACACACACACTCACTCACCTTAACATAAGACACACACTGTACTTTTCCATCTACCTCCAACCCAAGACTCATCAATAGGTTTGTGTCTCCTCATTGGATTCTAAAGGATAATCTTAACCTTGTCATGTCCCTGCTTTACAAAATTTCAAGAGCTTACCATTGCCAAGTCTGAAAAGAAACATCACAAACTAGCCACAAGCACTACCATTCACTAATTCCCAAACAGACTGGCAATCTCAGGTGTTATCTCAGATTCCAGTCATTCCTCCAAACGGAATAGCCTTCCCCTTTGCTCTGCCAGCTGATACTCTCCACATCTTTCTGGTTCCAGCTCAAAGGTCGTTTATCCTATGCAAACTTCTTTGACCTGCTCAGGGCATGTAATTCACTCCCTCATCAGTTTTCCTCAACCCTCACTAATGCTTCTAATACAGCACCCTTCACACGAAATTCTCATTATTCACCTGTCTCACAGACTGGAACATACGCTCTTAAGGTAAGGCCTCAGATCTTGTAATGGTACCCGCAGTGTCAGGACCAAAGCGAGCCTGCAAGCCCTGTGATGCGAATAGAAATCTCCAGCAGGCGCATTATACAGGAAGAAAGATAAGGAGAAGGATAGCAGTCTTGCTTTGGGATCATCTCTGGGAATCGCACATCATTTGCTGCCATGAGACCAAGTGATTTTCTTAGATATCTAATCAGGAGCCAATCTCCAATT